TGGGTTTAGTTGTTTGATTAAGATGAAGAATTATTGGGTTCGATATTGAATTGATTGTGTTAATGAAGGATATTGAATTGATTATTTGATTGAATTAATTGTGTGAATGAAGGAAGATTCGAGAAAGAAGATGCTAGAGGAAGAAGATGATGCAAAATTGTAATTTGGTGGGCCCCCACTTTTGTTTTTGTGTTGGGTATGACCATGTCATCATTTATCCAGGTGTACAACTGACATGGCTTAAATTTTTGATATATCTGTGAGTTAACGGACGATTTTTAACGGAAGGATCAAATCGGGGTAAAAATGGTAAACAGTAAAGACCATATCAGGGATTTTTTTAGTTCAGGGACCAAATCGAGGGTCCATACAATAGTTCAGAGACCAAAAAAGAGTTTTAACCTAATTACAATAATGAAACATTTGCGAGGAACATGACCCTTTTATATATAGTTGACATAATAGTGCAAAACAAACAGAATATAGTCATTACACTAAAGTATCATAAGAGACCTTACAACTAACACAAGACACACTTCAGAGAGAGAAACAATGGTGGCATGCTTTATACCAAATAGAAAAAGGCGACAATATCTAATCTAAACCATTTTTGCACACAAGTGTTGATATATCTGGTACTAACTCAAAGCTTGCCCTTCCACATTTCTCCCTAGCATTGTGTCTGGGGGAGTACCAGGTGCTCTTAGATTACAAAGCAAAGCATCACGACCGGTCAATACTAGTTTGAAAAAGCCATCTACTTCCTTTGTAAGTAGATCTAGCCCTTGAGTGAGTTTCTCCGTCATCCTTCTCAAATCTGAAACAGAGCTTTTAAATGATTCAACGTCAACAGGGACCAATTCATCTTCGAGCATGGGATACAATTTCTCAAGACATGCATTGACAGCACCCAATTCTTTTAGAACTGTAACTTCTCCTTGAGAAAATATATTTCTTATTTCTGTATTCATGTTAGTCTGCAAATTAGTGAAAGCTTGTGCCCATGATAATGAGTCAGGAATGGTCAACTCTACCAAATTCTTAGCAGAACCACAGAAAGCTGAAGCAAAGACACTACAGATATATACAGTCTCCACCTTAGCCCCATACATAGCATGCATCAACACCTTTCCTTTGGCAGAGTTCTTGACTTTTGGCAAGTTCAATGATTCCACAAGGCTGTCTAGGATTGGTTTACAGGTTTCAACTCTAGGGTTTTTTGAGTTAATGTGCCGTCTCCAGCTATCAAGAGAAGATCTAGCACGGGTAAACTGATCTGGTGAGTTGGACTCCAAATTGTGCAAGAGACATTGAAGCAAGAGATTACCTTGGTTGATCCGTGTAAGCTCGGAGCTAAAAACAATACATATATCCAACAACTTCACACTGATGTCCAAATACACATCAATCCATTTCTCATCCCAATCAGACACAGGAAGCTCAAGCTCAGTAATCAGGTTCTTTACATCATTGTGACCCTCAGATAGTGATTCCATTGCCAATTTCATCCATGCTAAGCTAAGGACATCATCCTTGTCTTTTGGGGTCAACTTTTGCAGCCTCTCCAACAAAGTTTCTTCAAAAGCATTTAATTGAGAACGAAGCCTTGGAGACAACTGGGAACTCTTAGGTGATAAAATTCGGAAAGGATTTCCAAAGGAGAAGAAAGGGCGATGTGGTTCCTGGGGACGACTCATTTGATCAATTTACTGCAAAAAAGTAAAGTAATATCAATTATCAAATTCAAGACCAGCCTCAAAGACCAGATGAATGCCTTCAGTTCCAAGGACCACGATAATCTCATTTCATCCAATGGGCCATTAAAGATTGCCAGACCTAGATGCAAACAATAATATCCAGGAAAACCCCAAACACAACCAAGCAATTCATAATTCATATTTAATCTCTAATATTTTTGGCTAAAAATTTGGTAAGAAAATCTTTAGACTTTTAATATTTCTTTGCCCTTCTCTAGAAAAACCTCAGATCATCACATCTGTAGTGCTTAAAATTAGTCCAAAATATTCATTTTAGTTACCAATATCTATTTTTTTCTAAGTCAAATATTAAAACTTCTAACTCATACATTTTTTATTGAATCAAATCTATTTATTTTATTTTCTCATTTCCTACATAAATTTTTAATATGTTTCTAAATTTATTACACTTTTTTAGATGTCTTTTACCGTACATTTTTTCCCACAACTACAACTAGATAATTACTCACTAATCACCAAAAATTTTAAAGAATAGTATATTTCACATTGACCATGGCCAAATTTGATTTTAAACATAAGTTTACAGCTTTACAACTATATGTTACTTCCTCTAGCTCTTTTTAATTACCCAATCTCATTAACTTTATTTTAATTAACTTAATGATTTTTTATAAACAAATTAATGAAAACTGAAAATTTTTTTAATCTAAGTAAAAACATTCAACAGGCACTAGATTTTAGAAAGAAAAAATTTTTCAATTGTCATGTATTTGCTAGATAAAATCACCAGATCAAACTTAAAGAGAAGGTTAAATTAACAAAACTAAATCAGACCCAAAAAAATAATATTTTAAACACAAATTTGATTTAAGTGTGGACCAAATTGGCCTCCTCATCTCCAATGCTGGCTCCAACAATGTTCACAGGCAACTAAAACCAAATTGCATAAAGTTCTCAATTTCACAATAGAAATTTAAGTACTCACGCTTCATGACTTTGTAACAGCTTGGAATTCACATCATATTCCCCAATTTTTATGTTAAAAAAAAAAATAATAATAATAATAACCATAGGAATTAAGGAAACACTGACAAGGCATTTGGGTTGAGAGAAATGAAGGGAATGGAACGGAAAGGAATGGACTTTCATCCAATCAAATGAAAGAATTTGACAAAGATCTTCAATTAATTGGATGAAAATCCTTTCCTTTCCTCTCATTTCCTTCACCCCAAAGATGCTGTGTGCCTGCACCATACAGCCTACCACTTTCTTTATAAAACAAATTTCTATTAACCTGAATCCTTAAACAC